CAGTTCAGGGGGCCATGGCGGATCAGGCAGTTCAGGGGGCCATGGCGGATCAGGCAGTTCAGGGGGCCATGGCGGATCGGGCAGTTCAGTGTGCCATGGCGGAGCAGACAGTTCAGGGGGCAATGGCGGATCAGGCAGTTCAGGGGGCCATGGCGGATCGGGCAGTTCAGGGGGCCATGGCGGAGCAGACAGTTCAGGGGGCCATGGCGGATCAGGTAGTTCTGGTGGGCTTGACTGCGGAAGCACTGTTTGAAGACATTTACGAGCTCGGGGGTAAATGGGAGGTGATGGGTGGTCGGAACCATTGGTCAGGAATGTGGAGAGTCCTGGCGTGGGGTGAGCTGGAGAGGCAAGGTGGGTTTCAGAGGGGGCTGGATGAGGAGACTTTCTCTTTTATTTCTTCTACTTCGAAATCGGAACCATTTAAATAGAGGACAAGATTAATGAGCTCGATCAAGGGAAAATCACACGTGGGGAGATCGCAGCGGATCGTTTCCTCATCCAGCCCCAGCTGAAGACAGACACCGAGTGCTGCGTCGTGCCAGCTGACCCGGTAAGACAGCTCGAGGAATTCCTCCACATACCTTTCCAATGTCCGACCTCCCTGCCGCAGACACCATACCTGGTCCTCAGCCCAAGTCATCTTTTTTGTGGTCCAGTGTTCTGTCACAGTGCCTACTGTGTTGGAGCGAGGAACGAGGAGAACGCAGGAGAATTACCATCAACAGTCTTTAATAATCCACAGGAACACACACGTAGCACAGGGGATTGACGTTTAACACTGGACGCTAGACACAGGAAAACACTGGGCTTAAGTAACTGGAACTAAAGGAGGATAATCAGGGGAACACAGGTGAATCAAATGAACACAATCAACACGAGGAGAAACTGGGTCACGGGGAGCACATGGGAAGCAAAACACAACAACACAGGAACACAGGACTGACACTATCTATCTATCTATCTACAGTGCATCTATCTATCTATCTATCTATCGTTCTATCTGTTGTTCTATTGTTCTGTAGATCCATATTTCAATCTTTTATTTTTTTGCACTGCTTTGGCCAACAAACCACTCTAAACTGAAATTAAATTTGATAGTAAGACAGCACCAGTGAGTGAGAGAGAGACAGAGAGAGAGAGAGAGAGAGAGAGAGAGAGGGAGAGACAGAGAGAGAGAGAGAAAAAATCAGTCACACTGAATGATGTGAATGTGAAAACAAGCAGTTCGTCAAACTACAGGAATCCCCAACTCCAGTGCAGGTCACTGAAACACGTCTTCAGTTTTCAAAGGGATAAAAATGATTAACATTCTACACGTGTGTGTGTGTGTGTGTGTGTGTGTGTGGCTTTCATTGCTCCTGTACAGCGTCTCACCGTCGGCTTATAATTACAGCCATTAAATCATCCTTTGGCTCAACGGCCTCTCAAAGCGCAGAGCGGCATTCAGATGAAATCCAATCATCACCCAACAAACTATTTCCTTTTAATTACCCATAAAACACAGATAAACAACAGCACGGAAACGACGACACCATCATCATGTGTTATGACACACCGTGACCATAATTCGATTCTCCTGCTTCTGCAGATCCACATATATATCAACAGTAAATACAAATGACACTTTATCATCACAAACACGGACAAAACAGACCAACAAAACCACTGACTAAACTCAGGCTCATTATTATTATTGCCATATTTAGTCTTCATTTTCATATTTACATTTATTCATTTAGCAGAAGCTTTTATCCAAAGAGAAGAATAAAACAAGTGATTCATAAGAGGCAAATAAACACAAGAAATAGTCATAATACAAAGTTTCAGACATCATTTAGATTAATTTAAAAAAAATTATATTACAAAATTAAGTGATTCTAGTTTTATTCTGATTTAATTTAATTTCACATTTTATTTTTATTTCAAGTATTTTTAAATTATTTAATTTTCCAAACTAATCTTTCCTGTTTAAAATATTTTAATGTATTAAAAATATTATATTGTATAACATATTGCATTATTTTAATGTTTTATTTTATTTTATTCAAAATATTTAAATGAATTTAAAATAGTATATTTTGTTTTCCAATCTGACTTACTTTCTCAGTCAACAGTCTAAATGTTTTTTTATTTTTATTTAAAGTATTTTAATGTATTTACATTTTTAAATAAATTAATAATCAAACCAATGGTTTCAATTAATATAAACCAAATTTAATCAACTAATTTGACTTATCTTCTTATAGCCAAGTCAACATTTGTTTTATTTTTATTTTATTAGCTTAAATTGGCTAAAATTACGTGATTGCTCATTTCCTTATTTTAAGATTTCTTCAATTCCCTTTTATTTTATTTTAAATATCTTAAGTTATTATACTAATAATCAAATCAATGGCTTAAAATGGTTTAAATGAATAACCACACCAAAACTAATAAATTAATAACCAAACTAATCTGACTTACTTTCTCATAGTCAACATTTATTTTATTTTTATTCATTCGTATTTTATATTATTAGCTATTAGTGGAAATGCTAAAATTAAATGATTGCTCGATTTAATTTCATTTTCACTTTTTATTTTATTTTAAATATCTTAATTTATTTAACCTATTTAACTTTTATTTTCCATACTAACCTGTCTCACCTTTTGAAAACATTTTAATTTGTTTAAAATATTATATAGCATTTTACTTTATTTCAAATATTTTAATTGATTTAAAATAGTATATTTTGTTTTCCAAACTAATCTGACCTACTTTGTCAGTCAAAAACCAAAATTTATTTTTAATTTAATTTATTATTGTATTTTTTTTTTTTGCCTACAGTTTTTTTTAAACTTTATTGTCTATCTAGATTTACTGTAACTGTATCTGTCACTTTAAAATAACTTTCAATATTTAATACTGTAAATTAACGCACGTTTTGATTCATACTGTTTTTTGACTTAACATTTTGCAAAGTTTTTGGTCTTATTTTGCTGACTGCGACAGATGTGAACGAGAGAGCGGCTCGCAGTGAAACACGCATCTTTAAGCAACGTTAAAACACTTTCTACTTTTATTTTACAGTCAGCACAAAGCAGAGCGCCAGGCCTCCGCTTCCTTCAGCGCCGGTTTCACTCGGAAAGAAGAGAAGTGAGGTTTGCGAGAACAAGCATTTGATGAGAATGAGGTTTTGGTCCTGCGGAGACGCTCCAAGAGCAGAAGCACCAGGAGGGACGTGAAGAGAAAGAGCTAAAAACAGCAAAGCGCCAGAACAAAGAGCAGAATAAAAGTCATTTCTCTGTCTCTGCTCCCGCGGCGAGCCTGATGAAAGCCGATTGGTGGGAGAGCTGCGCATCACCATGGTGATTTTAATAACAGTGATTATGAAGGAAGGGGTCATTGTGAGAATATTATGGGATTTGATGCATTATTACACAAAGATACGAGAGGGACGAAAAGACTTGACATTTCCAGAAGAAAAGAAGAGAAATCTCTAATATCACTGACATCCAATCAGACGGTTTCCTGAAATCATGAAGTATTTTAATATTAAAAACATTCCACCACCTTTAAGACTCATCAGGGAAATTATAAACTGGTTAGGGCTAAAGTTCATCTCACAAAATGTATTCTTCCAGTCGTAAGTTTGGGGTGAGTAGTACTTTACATGTCTTTGAAAGAAGTCTCTTCTGCTCACCGAGGCTGCATTTATTTGATCCAGATTACAGTAAAAATGCATAATGTTTTTACAGCCTAAAATAGGGTTTTCTATGTGATAATATTCTGATTTGCTACTCAAGAAACGTCTCTGATTATAATCAATGTTGAAAACAGTTGTGCTGCCCAATATTTTTGTGGAAACCGTCATACATTTTATTTTTCAGGATTTACTCAAAAATGAAACATGTTGACTTTGCAACTAGCTGGAATAAAACATTTTTTAAATGTAACTCTTTTTTTTCAGTTAACATTTATTTTATTTCAAGTAACAGCAATTTTAATGGCTTTAATTTTTTTTTCATTTTAGTATTAGTTAACTATAATATCCCTGAATTAAAGTACTAATTTCTTTAAAAAAAAAAAAAAAAAATGTAATTGCACAGTAAATAAACACAGAAATTCACAACAGTTAAATTAATACATTATAATCTATATAAATGTAAAAATATATTTAATTTCTATAAATGTAAAAATATACAATATTTATGTATTTTTGTAATATAACATTTTTTTTAAATAGATTTTTATATTTGTTAAGTATATAGTATTCGGTCCCACTTTATATTAAGTGGCCTTAACTACTTAACAAGTACAATGTACTTATTGTGTTCATATTGTATTGCAAAACACTTTTGCTGCTATTGAGGTGGGATACGGGTCAAGTTAGGGACAGGTTTGGTGGTATGGGTAGGTTTAAGGGTGGGTTAAGGTGTAAGAGATGGGTCAATAGTGTACTTATAAATGTAATTACAGAAATTAATTAGATATGCAATTACATGCAGGTCTTTTTAAAAATATAAGTACAATGTAAAAACATGTTTGTACACAATAAGTGCATTGTACCAAATGATTAATTTAAATGTATGTACATAGTAGTTAAGGCCACCTAATATAAAGTGGGACCTAGTATTCTTTAAGTACTAAAGGAATCGTCGGTCACAATTAAGTGGAAACTAAGTTAAATTAAGTTAAATTCTCATGAATATTTTAGACACAGTCAGCGTAAACAAAGAAAAGACAAAGAGTGAAACGCAGAGAAAGAAAGACAGAGGTGAACAGACAAAAAACAGTTCAAGTAAGTTCAACTATTCTCACACAAACAGAGAAAATATAGCAGCAATGAACACACTGTGGACGGACTGGCAGCACACACACACACAGACTCCCATGAGAGAAACCTGTCAGCTAGACACACACTAACCCTGTCACATCCAGGAGAGAGTGAGTGAGTGAGAGAGAGCGTGTGAGTGTGTGTGTGTGTAAACAAATGAGGCCGTTGTGGGTCGATTCTAATCAGCCACGGCACAGATGAGTGTTCATCCAACAGTGACACCTCAAATAAAGCTACACACACACACACACACACACACACACACACACACACACACACACCGGTTTATACTGTGCAATGCTGAAAGTGTGTCTAAAAGTGTTGCAGTACTGTTTGTCTTCATTTATACCACTAGATCTAATGTTTCATCATTTCAAACTTATTTTGTGAGTCATTTTGCTTCAAAAGTGTGTTTGTGAATCTTTCTTTACAATAAATCCTCTTGGTTTGGGGTCATTGTATGCCACATTTCGGTGACATTTTCACTAAATCTGCAATTTAATTTAATTAATATATGTGCTGCATATTTTGCAATGGTTTATTTTTTGAAAATGAAGAAATTAAGACAGCCACAAACATACAGCATGATATTACAGTTGTAATGTAAAATAAAAGTATTAACATTATATTGTTTTTCTTAAATACTCTTTATACTTTTTATTTTAAAGTAAAATATTTCAATACTATTATTATTATTATTATTACTATTATTATTATTATTAGCCATATTGATATATAATCACAAAGTTTTGGACAAGATGTGAAGTCATGCAAACAAGCAGAACAAAAAATAAAATAATAATAATCACAATAATAAAATCACAATCCCAATTTTTATCATAGAAATTGCAATTACATTTATTATTAAATGCTATTTAAATTTTTATTAATTTTTAATATTAACATATCTTATTAAGTTTTTATTTAGTCATTTCATTTTATTTAGTAACAATAATAATATTCATTATAATTATTATTTCTTATCATCATCATCATTTTTATTATTGTGTAGCCATATAGATATGTAAATCACAAAAGCTTGGCCAAATTGTGCAGCAAAAAAAGAGAGAGAGTTCATCGCATTTTAAATCACAATCATGCTCTTTCAAACTTCTTACCGTTTAGACGTGGTTTTAATGATGTCCGACAACGTCTGCGTGTAATCAGTGGCCAAAACTACGATCTCCTCTTCCTCAGAGAAATTATCACTGAAGATCCTGTCCAACAAACGCTTCCAGTGGAACTACAGAGGAAGAGATGACACTGTTTATGCTTCTCTCGAGTGGCTCTTTCAATGAAATACAGAAGCCAGTAAACCTCGAGCGTCTGCCGTCTGCTTATTGATTTATGCTTCATTTAGGGACCATGTTCTACATTTTAAACAGAGGATCTGGCCTGCCAAATATGGATTGGCCGGTAGATCCAGCGGCTCTAGATATTTGCCGGTTTGCGTTCTAATTTTACTGTGAAGCAGAAGGTCATCTGGGGGACAATCACCACAGATCGGACAAGGCCATTATTCTTACGAAGCCGGAGAACTTCAGGACTCTCGGCGCATATAAACCTGCTCTTTATCTTGCTCTCTGACAACAGGTTCAACATTATTGTTTTCTTTATAATTTTAGCATCATGTTTTAATCTGATTTATTTCTCACATCCAGCTCTGCTCAACTGAAATTCAATCATATAGGCAAGACACCACAGGTGAAAAAAACTTAACTAATAGATTTCACCATACTTCCTCAGTTGATTGATTACATTGAGAATTGCAAACATTTTTTGTATTATAAGTTTTCTGAAATGTTATGTTTAAAATGAGCCATTATAGAATTAAATATGCACTACTTTGCATACATTTCCAGAAAATAAATCTAAACATTGGATAAAGTCAGGTTCAAAATTCTTGTGTGATTTTGCTGACATATTAGAGTTAAAGGTTTTTATAGAGAGGATTTTGGATTTCTCTTTTTATCACTCCATAAATCAGAAAATACTGTCAACAGCCAGAAAAAACTAATTTTCGCCATTTTTTTAGGAATAAAATGTTGTATAAATCAGTGTGAATAATATATGAACAAACCCCTCAGTAAAAACCTTCAGAATATAGAGAGGAATAAAACTCTAAGTTTTGGTGTGTGTAAGTGCTGCTGAAGTGGAGAAAAATCTCTTTAAAGATATGTATTGCAATTGAAATCTACAGACGCAAATAGATAGTGCTATTAAAGAAGCACTTAAAAGAGTGTTTTGGATGTTTCCTTTTCACTAGACTGAAAGAAAACACTTTATGAAAATGCAAAAAGCTGAAAATCACAAAACTGACCAGTGCATGAATAAAAAAGTTTTTGCCTGTAGTGTCTCACCTTAAATTCTACTCAAGTTTGTCTGGCTCGGCACAATGGCTCAGCCTCAAACCATAGTGACTCTCTCTACGTAGGACACTAATAAGGGCTTAAACGGGTTAGTCTGTTCACTCCTGCTGGTAATAATCTATAACTACATCATTCTGGGGTCAAAGAGCATCTTTCTCCATTGACGGCCATTCAAAAGAAGACATGGAACATCTTTTCTGGAAAATAAGTCACACCTGACTAAAAGTTGTACCAGGTCAAAACTGTATTGTTGAGAGATAAAAACACAGATGAGTTTCATCGGTGTGTAAGTCACATTTCATTATTACATTTAGAAATAATGTAAAATTTTGGTAAAAAAATTAAACATTTATACAGTTATATAAACATGTATTTTTGATATAAGTGAGTGAGTGTGTGTGTGTGTGTGTGTGTCTCTCTGTGTGCGCATTTTTGTGACAAATGAGGACATAAATTTGTATAATGACAAAGGTATGACACAGGTATTACAAGGAGAAGGTGACTTTTCAGGACATTACCCCATGTCCCCACTTTTCAAAACGCTTATAAATCACACAGAATGGAGTGTATTGAAAATCTGAAATAGCACAAAGTTTCCTGTAAGGGGTAGGTTTAGGGGTAGGGTTGGTGTAGGGCAATAGAATATACGGTCTGTACAGTATAAAAACCATTACGCCTATGGGATGTCCCCACTTTTCACAAAAACAAACCTGTGTGTGTGTGAGTGTGTGTGTGTGTGTGTGTGTGTGTGTGTGTGTGTGTGTGTGTGTGTGTGTGTGTGTGAGTGTGTGTGTGTGAGAGAGTGTGTGTGTGTGTGTGTGTGTACTCACACTTGGAGCCATTTTCTGCAGTTGTTTCAGTGTTATTCGGTTGTACATGCTGCTAATGTCTTTTCTTTGGTCGTCGTATTCAGACACAGTTATCTTTACAAAAATGAGAAAGAATGTTAATTAACATATATTAAAACAAACATGCTTGTTCACACAAAACAGTCGGAATTCATGTTCACATTTACCACAGATTTATACAAGCACACATACTGGAGTTCAGAAGTATGAATCATTATAGTGATTCTGATCATTTGGGTGATTCGTTTGAATGAACAGGTGCAAATACTCAGTTTAAAAGTTCATTACATAAAAAGTGTTCTCAGAGGTCTCTGTGTGGCATTTTAAATATTAATTTTGGTACTTAAATATTTGGTAAAACAAAGCTGTTTATCACTACAATTTGATTACATGTGAAAGTTATTTGTGTTTATTGGTATTTCATGTAAATGTTCCAGTTTGATGCTTTTATATTGTGTTTTTGTTCCACAAAGACTTTCTTAAAATTAGCTTTCTTTTAAAAAAAGAAATAATAAAAAATGTATTAATATAAAAAATTAGATATTGATATGTGACTAAAATAAGAAAAATGTAATGCTAAATTGTAAATACAATCACATGATTTTAAGTAAAATATTAATTCAAATTAAATGTAAAATATTTATACATAAAATAATTTATATTATTATTATTATCACAATATCATTTTGAATTCTTGACGATGTATAAATTATTATAACTAGATTTTTACATTTTCTGAATAAAACATGAGCAATGTAATGGATAGTGTGCCTTACATTGTGTTTGTTTGTTCCAGAAACACTTTCTCAATAAATACATAAAAAAAACTCAAAAAAAAATTTCTCCAGTAACAAACAAATTATTAAAAAGAACCAAATCAAAAGAATGATTAATTGGCAAACTGAACATCACTAAAGTGCACACACACACACACACACACACACACACACACACACACACTCACACACACACACAC